AAAGTTTGGCGTGAGCCGTGGCGCTGGGATGTTTTTAAAGGAGCACTGTGTTTCTGTGTACCTGGGAACACTGAGACCAGTAGCTGTGCTGGCAGTCAGCTCTGTGCTGGCTTAGCGAGTGAGAGAGAGCGAGGACAGGAAAAGAGGGAGGGAGGCAAACGAAAGGGGGCTTCAGAGGCATGAGTGGAATTCGCCTTAAAAGGGGTACGGTTTAAAAGCCCCAAGGGCCATGCTGCCTCCCTTTCCGTCCCCCACATCCCCATCCTTCCTGCCTCAAAACGAGAAAACTCAAAAAAACGAGCGAAACCTACACTACCGTGTAAAGGCTTCTCTACACTCTCTTCATTTCATTGTAACTTCTTTCTTGATGTTACACAGCTTTCTCGGTTATTATGAATTCATTTATAGCCTTGTTCATCAGATCTAAAATTTTACTGCCTCGGTGAAATTGTTTTAAGTCTATGATTTAATCATATTATTGGTTTTTGTACATGCAAAACATAGTTTAATATATTATTTATGAAAAAAACTATTCCAAAGCAGGAAGTGTGTGTGCTTTGCCTCTGTTCTGTTTTGCTCTGGGAGGCCATGGTGGGGGTGGGGGGAGGAGGACAGTGCTGCCTCAGAGGGTTCAGCACGGGGCTGCTTTCGCTCTCACAGTCTCAGTTACACAGCCTAAGCCCAGTGCGAGCCCCAGAGGTCCTGAGCGGCGCTCGCCAGCTCGCATACCAGCTAGACCCGAGCTGTGGCTTTCCCAGTTTCCCAAAAGCTGTTGTTGATGCGGTTTCCCTCTCCAATTCGGTCTGCTGTGGTCAAGAGCGGCTGTGCTCCATTTGCCTCTCTGCAAGTAAGGGATGTGTTAATATAGGCTGTAATGTAAGCAAAACAAGGAGTCTGTGTAAAGAGGGAGGGACGGGATGAGATGTTAATGAAGGGAATGAGTGAAACAGAGATTGAGAGAGTTACTGGCAGGGTGGAGTGAGAGGGAGGCAAAGGGTGAGAAGTTTGGCAGAATACTGAGGGAAGAAAGGTAGGGAGAGAGGGTGAGAGTGAGAATGATGGCATAAACCTAGAGCTGGGGTGCTCAATTCCAGTCCTGGAGATGTACCACCCTGGACAGTTCAGAGCCAACACACCTGGCTCTAACATTCAGGTGCCTCTGAAGACCTTCGTTACCTGCATCAAGTGTGCTAGATTAGGGTAGGAGCTGGATTCTACAGGGTGTTAGATCTCCGGGAGCAGGATTGGGCTCCCCTGATCTGGGGGGTATGTGGCACATGTATGCATGGCTGTATCCCAGAGAATATTCAGGCATACGCCTTAGTGCCAGCATGCTTGGTAGGTGTTTGGTGGGGGCAGATCACAACAAGAACAGTCGAATCCCAAAATTGCACAGTGCAGGCCAGAATCAAATGATCAAGTGTTCATCGTAGAGAGATCTTTAGAAGCTTCTTGGAGGTTACAAGAGATTCTGCAAGTCAAATGGATCTAGGTTGCTTGTTCCACTAACGAGGAACTATATGACGAGTGTTTGGACTGCATGAGTCTTAAAGTGCCCCATTTCAGTGTTCAAAAGTAGGTGTGTTCTGTCAGGTTGTTTAATTGCTCAAGGTGGTAAGAAGTGCTTTTAAAAAAATTTGGAAGGGGGAATTGTGACACAACCAACACGTCTACTGTCTTTGTGTGATGTACAGAGGCAGCAAATTGGTGCTACAGTAAAACAAACCCATATGAAAAAAAGAAGTATGCAGTGACTCATCAGCACCCAGGAAATGCAACGTAAGAAACAGCAAAGAATTGGAATCATTTTTAAAGACAAGATGCCATGAAATGAAATTGGATTTGCAATCTAGCGACTATATCTTGCTCTGTAAGACTTTTATGAAGTGCGGAGCAGACAGCTGACCGCTAGTGGTGACCAGATAGAATGATAAACAATAGTTTGTTTCCTGTCAGACTGATAAATACGTGGTGCACCACAGTGGAGCTAACCAATAAGGTATAACTGGCTATATTGAATTGTGGCCATCTTAGGGTATGATATATATGTTGTATCAGATGATCTGTGTACCTCAGATGGAGAAAGATGAAGAGAGGTTTAATATTTAGGCTAGTTAGGCCAGACCAGATTAACTGCTGTATACTGAAGCATCCGCAGCAGTTTCACAAAGCATGCAGACAGGCCAGCCAGTAGTCTAGTCGTGAAATGTAAAGGGAGTTACAGAAGTTGAGTTGTGAAAAGGCAAAGGCCTGATTTGGGCTACATTTTCACATTCCTAAGGCTCAATCTTCCTGATGTTATACAGACTATGGCCTAATCCCATTTCTTATTTTTACCCCTACCCTTGTTTTCGAGTGTCACTCGAACCCCTTGGAACTGAGTTACAAGTTGTAGTGGTTGAGGTCTTCACTACAAAATAGGACCTTCAAATAAAAAGAACATCACTTCATTAACAGGCAACTAGCGTTGCTCTGTAGGCGACTCTGTAGGCAAGGGGTGAAATGAGATTGGGCCTATAACTTGGTCAGCGCAGCAATGAGGTCCATGAAGGTAAGATGGATGTTGATCAGTTGTGTAGAGTGAGAAGAGAAAGGGGCTTAGCACTGATCCCTGATGTGGTTTGTACACTTCACCCCTCCAGGCTACCTTGTAGATCCTCAAATACCTCGTAAGACTCATCACTTATGTGCCAAGCCTATCATCCCAGTGCCAGAGAGAGTGGACAGAAGTATGGCAGAAGGACGTGGATGCAGCTCTTGCAGACTATGACAGATAACACAGTGGCCAACAGAGCAGCCTCAGTCGAACGTCTGGTCTCGAAGGCAGACTGATGATTCTCAAAGGTTGTCCCGTATGAAATAAGAGGAGACCTGACAGAAGAGAGAGGAGAGAGGCTGGCTGAATGTAAGAGGGTGGTGTCCAAGTGACAGCGGTCAGGTATTTGGTGAGGATGAGCTTCAACACATCGGTGTCGGTCAGCAGAGAGCTAAGCTGCAAATGGCAGAAGAGTGGGTGTAATTGTGAGGTGTGAAGAAGTGACTGCTTTTTCTGTAAGGATGATGGTTGTGGATGGGATGGTGCAGTGAGATGGTGAGGAGGCCGAAAGTTGTTGGTGAACATGGAGAAGAGTTTGTGAATGTCTGCAGTGCTGCTAATCCACTAAAGGGCAGATGATGACATTTTCCCACAGCAATTAAGATCAGGAAAGAGGCTGTAAAATGAAGGTTGTGACAGAAGAAAAAAACTGTGAAGAAGAAACAAAAGGGGATGGAGGAGAAGACAATAAAATGGGTCAGAGATGTGTAAAGAGCTATCAAGCGAGTTGCCAATGATGCAGTGACGTATCAAGATAACTTCCACTTGGTTTACTGACTTGTAGGTTGAGTAGCATATCACTGCTGTCGGTGGAAAACCTCATATGTCTATTTTTGTCATTTTTCAGTTAATGACATAATTTGAAAATACCTGCTGCCCCTTTCATCGTGTGTAAATTTCATGATGAATGGATCAAAAGAAACGGCCCAAAATTACTTGGAAAACAAGTCTGGTTCCATTGACTTACATTAAAAGTAAAGTTTTTTCTTTCCCCTGTAAAGTTGCCATTTTGGAGATACGAGGTTTTGGTACAACAGCAGCGATAAGGAAGTTGCCAAGTTGTGGTTTGTCTAGGTGGGTGTTCATGTCCCCGAGACCATGGCTTCCACCTTCTAGGATGGAGAGATGGTGAGAGAGATGGTGAATGGTAGATACACAGTTTAACAGTGTAAAAGTAATAGCTTGATATCCAAATGAGTTGTTGGTAAACAAAGAAGAGATGCGATTTTCTTTGATGGTTGAATTAATATACAAATTTAAATAGAAAGCTTTAGATACTGCAATTTTCTTTGGGAGCAATTGGCAAAAGTACCTTGGAAATAATGATATACTGCCATTTCTGTTCTTGTTGCGTTGCCAGCACTAATCGGTGCTCGAACCTCAGATGTTTAAAACACTTTGGAGCACAATGTGTTTTTTAGGAGTATTTTGGAAAAGATTATTTAGGCAAAACATGGTCTTCTTATCAAGGAAGGTCATCTGATGAACATGAATCTGAGTGCTGTTTAATGCTAACAACAAATTCTTCTTTCTTTATTGAAAATCAAACATTAAACATTTGGACAGGCAGTTTATACACACCCATCAGGCATAACATTCTGACCACCTCCTTGTTTCTACGCTCATTGTCCATTTTATCAGCTCCACTTACTATATAGGTGCACTTTGTAGTTCTACAGTTACAGACTGTAGTCCATCTGTTTCTCTGATGCTTTGTTAGCCCCCTTTTACCCTGTTCTTCAGTGGTCAGGACCCCCATGGACCCTCACAGAGCAGGTACTATTTGGGTGGTGGATCATTCTCAGCACTGCAGTAACACTGACGTGGTGGTGGTGTGTTAGTGTGTGTTGTGCTGATCTGAGTGGATCAGACACAGCAGCGCTGCTGGAGTTTTTAAACACCTCAGTGTCGCTGCTGGACTGAGAACCAAAAACATCCAGCCAACAGCGTCCTGTGGTCAGTGACCAGTGACCACTGATGAAGGACTAGAGGATGACCAACACAAACTGTGCAGCAGCAGATGAGCTATCGTCTCTGACTTTACATCTACAAGGAGGGCTGACAAGGTAGGAGTGTCTAATAGAGTGGACAGTGAGTGGACACAGTGTTTAAAAACTCCAGCAGCACTGCTGTGTCTGATCCACTCGTACCAGCACAACACACACTAACACACCACCACCACGTCAGTGTTACTGCAGTGCTGAGAATGATCCACCACCCAAATAGTACCTGCTCTGTGAGGGTCCATGGGGGTCCTGACCACTGAAGAACAGGGTAAAAGGGGGCTAACAAAGTATCAGAGAAACAGATGGACTACAGTCTGTAACTGTAGAACTACAAAGTGCAGCTATATAGTAAGTGGAGCTGATAAAATGGACAGTGAGCGTGGAAAGAAGGAGGTGGTCATAATGTTATGGCTGATCGGTGTGTGTGCGTCTGTTCACAGCGAGGCGGAGAAAGTGAACACAGTGTGTGTGTTTAGGAAAGGTAGGGGTGGGAGCCATGAATATTCTCCAGACTTCGCCTCCAACTTCGTGTGAGACTGCGTGAGTGAGCGTTGATGGGTTTAGTTTCGGGAGGGAATGTAATCGTTGCAGCCGAGTGTGTGTTCCCTTGGTCGACAAGGGAGTGAGTGTGTGTGTGTGTGTGTGTGTGTGTGTGTGTGTGTGTGTGTGTGTGTGTGTGTGTGTGTGTGTGTGTGTGTGTGAGTGAGCTTGTCTGAATGGGAGCCAGGAGAAGGGGAAGGGCCTCAAGTCAGCCGACAAAAACAGCTGCTTCAGTGTGCTCGGGAAAACACGCGCAGAGAGAGGGGCAGAGCGAGGGAAGGAAAGAGGGGAAAAAGAGAGAGGGGGGGGACCGGCAGGGTCCACGGCTCTATATGGGTTGCGCTCTGGGTACGGACTGCTGCGGGGACGAGCCCGAGCCAGAACCAGAACCGGTCAGAGGGACTCTGAAGAGGGAGAGAACAGACAGCAAGAGCAACATGAGGCTCACTAAGGTGAGGTACTTGTAGCTCGTACAGCGCACTGATGGATGTTGGGTGTTGCTGGATTAAAACTTTCTTTAAGAAAGTTGACGGTGACCTTTGTCACAGTTGAGCACTGCTTTTTTTAGACGTGTTTGGGTGAATGTGGCAATCTACAGAGATGTCCTCACATGGATCACATTCTTTGGTCCAGAGCACAGTTTTGTAATGTGTTCTTCATCTTTCCAAACATTCCTCTCCATCACTGCTCACTTGCTTTTTACTTCTGTTAACTTTGAGAATCCTTCATGTCGCTGGGTAGATTCCTGGATAGGGTGTTGAGTGATGTTGATTTGGTGTGCATGTGCAGAGTGGGAATGAACGTGACATAAACTGTTTGTGAGAAAGGGTCAGTGTTTGTGCAGTGGTCCGGTCCCCAGAGCATGCTCTCATGGTGCGCAGTGTGGGAATGTTTAGCCCTCTGGATGATGTCACAGAATTGTAGTTGACCCTCTGATGCAGGCCTGGGAATTGAAGTTAACTCCGTCTGCTTGCCTATGTGCAAGATCTCGAAACGTCTTGTCTCGCTGAATTAATTCGGTCGCACTCATGTCATGCACTGCTGTGGTCTGTTTTCTACGCCCAGGCGCATAACTGAGAGTCTCTACCAAACCTACCAGATATCACCCTTTATTCTTCTCCTTGTCAGGCTCAACGTCTCCTATTGATATTTTAAAAGTAAGGCTTGCAAAAGTGTGCGGTTTGTTTTGAATACTTCATCTCGTTGCTGTAGCCAAAGCGCTTGGTTTCTGCTGTGTGGGAACAGTTGGGGTTTGTGGTAAGGCATTAAAAACAGTAGGTGATCATTTCACAAGTAATACGACTCGACATCCACATTGTGAGACCATAATGAAGTCATACGATAGTTATACAGGCTTATAACCAGTGCATCATGATTGTTCCAGGCCAGTCAGACATTCATCATGCAATTCATTCATCATTCAGTCCTTGACATTACCTCGGTTTTAGATGGAGCTGGTTGGGTAATGCCTGCGGACTTTGGCCTCTCTGTTTGTGTGTTCCGTGGTTTGTGAGGCTCAACAAAGGGAGGGTTCTTCTCAGGAATAAACTGTTCTGCGAGGCTGTCAGAGTGGTGATCACCCTTACTGAGCTGCTATTGTCTCACTGTGACTAATGCTCAGCCGCTGTTCCTGTCTCCAGGCTGTAGACCGAGATGGCCATTCAGTGGCTGGAGCATCAGTTGGAGGTTAAAGTTGTAGCTGTTTTGGAGGTGGAGGTTGGAGCTATTGCTTTAATTCTTTGATCTTTTGCATTGTTTAAGTTATGCTGTGGAGGCCATCAGTGGTGGGTTGAGCGTTACTCGGATGTTGAGGGTCTTTTATTTGATTTGAATGATATGTTCATTTACACTTCTCTGTAAAACACCTACTTTTTCCAACATCTATTTTGTTTGAGTTTTGCGAAACCTAAACAGCAAAACTGAAGGAATAACTACCACCTTGGGACTAATGCCATGCACATTTTATCCCCTTGTTGTGATGTCAGAACTCATTAGAACTCAAGCTTTTTAGAAGTTTAGACCAATTTGTGTGCAAAGGATTTTAAATGTCCTTTTAACAATAGCTTTGAAAAAAAATGTTGAAATCATTATTTAGGCAAAAGTCTGCTGTTCATACCAAGATAAACACTTTGATGGACACCAAATAGCTGCAAAACAATTGCAGATAATTTTACTACTTTTATATTAATACAGTTATACCCACACTGTTAGAAATAAAGGTTCTGTTTTAGGTACATTTTTCGTTCATCAAGGTACAAACAGTGTAAATGTTCCCTCAAAGCTCCAACAGTGGTTTTAAGGTCTGATTGTGAACCTTAAATAAGTGTTTCCAGGTGAAAAGTTCGTATTTGTACCTTTTCATAACCGAATGTTTTAAACAGAACAGTAAAATAAAAGCCTGGAGACGAGACGGGGTGTGTGGAGTCAGTACAGCTTAGAACATATCATCTCAGTGGATTATGGTTCAGTTATGTTCCCTGACTAAAGGTACTGAGATGGACCCTTGAGGGTCCCACCCCAGTGACAAGAGGGGCACTGACCCAGTGACAGTTTAGTACCTTTATTTCTGAGAGTGCAGAGTTAGGTAGAATAGCCTAAATCAATACTCAAGTAAAAGTACTGATACAAGATAAAGTACATTCCATTAAAACACTGAAATCTGAGAACTGCTGAGGAACCTTAGTACATCCAGCATTTGTCAACACAGAAGATTCTATGGCTCTGTTCTTCACTTTTTGGGATTCATTTGGTGTAAAATACAATGCTAAAGCTCCAAAGTTGGAGATGTGACCAATCGCAAAGCTGTACAGATGCTCTCATCATCAAAATAATGATATTAAACACAGTAAAAAGTAGATTCCTTTACAGCTGGCGCTGGAGTCTGAGACTTTGGAGGCGTGGCTATGCAGATGACCACACGCAAAGGTTCAAAAGGCAGATCATGGGTTTCTTCTTCTGCCAACGTGATTTGAAAATACTCAGGAGAGTTCAGGTCCATCAATATTTTACTTAAGTACAGGTATTTGAGTAAATGTAACTAGTTACTACTCACCCTTGGTTATACCACAGCTACTTCCAGTGTGACTCTGACAGAGTGAAAATCCAGTATTATTCAGAATTAGGGTTGCTGCGATACCAGAATTTTGATTTTGATACTGATACCGAGTGTGATCATTGTCCGAACACCAAATGTTTATTGGATTCAACACAGAGAATATTTGTAAATGTATACAGCTTAATTAACATGTCTTTTACTCGGTATAAAACCTTTAAAGGTCTATTAATTGAAAGAGTTTTTAAGGGAGCAAAATTTGTGCTTCTGCAGCAGAGCTTTTAAAAAGTGTTTTTTATCACTTTTATATTTAATAACAGTTAAAATTCAGTGTTAACTTGGTAACTTGTTTAAATAGACAACTTCAAGTATCGAAAAAGTTTTGAAGTAAGAAAATAATAAAAGAAGACAAGGTGTTGAAACTTTTGAAGGCCCCAAGACCAAAAACCAACCATTCCACAATTGACCACATGAAGCCTGACTAACATGGGTGCGTGTGCTGTCATTGCGAGGCTTTTTCAGGCCCATTCTGTGTAAAACATGATAAAAGATGGAGTGTAGTTGAGTTATGGATCTCCAGTTTTCGTGCTGGGTGCCCACACCCATTTCAAGCATCGTGAGGGCACAACAAAGCTCAGCCTTGGTTTTTGTTTGTGTGGTTTACACTATATTCCTGGAATATCCTTGGAATGACAAACCTTTGACAACAAGTGCTAGTTTATGGCAGCCATAATCCACAGGCATACGCCATAAACACCGCACAGGAAAATGCCTGGTCAGGTCCGTGTTTAAAACAGGCCTGTTATTCAAATAGCAGGGCTACACACACTCATGCCACCATGGGAGTGTATGTGCAGCGTGCTTATGTGCAATATATACGCACATGATAAAGGCTACATTATGTCCACTCACTGTCCACTCTATTAGACACTCCTACCTTGTCAGTCCACCTTGTAGATGTAAAGTCAGAGATGATAGCTCATCTGCTGCTGCACAGTGTGTGTTGGTCATCCTTCATCAGTGGTCACACGATGCTGTTGGCTGGATATTTTTGGTTGGTGGACTATTCTCAGTCCAGCAGTGACACTGAAGTGTTTAAAAACTCCAGCAGCACTGCTGTGTCTGATCCACTCAGACCAGCGCAACACACACTAACACACCACCACCACATCAGTGTTACTGCAGTGCTGAGAAGTGGTGTTAGGGGTCCTGACCACTGAAGAACAGGGTAAAAGGGAGCTAACAACACAACTACAAAGTGCACCTATATAGTAAGTGGAGCTGATAAAATGGACAATGAGCGTAGAAACAACATAATGTTATGCCTGATCGGTGTATATTGTGTGTTTATGGATGTAAAAAGTCACTGTACTCTTATTGTTGGTTGTATAATGCTGGGTTACCAGGACAATGAGACTTTTGGCATCCATAGCTCCCAAAAAACCCATAATGTCATTTATTGTACTGTAACAGTCGGTGGCAAAAGTTGGGAAGGTTGAAAGTTCTGCTGCCGTCGATTGCCAACATGTAAAAGCAGCCTAAAGCCACACTGTCCAGTGCCAAGCATCGGCTAGACGGCTACAAAGCTCTGCAGCTTTGGGCTGTGTTGCAGTGGATACTGTATCCTCTGGAGTGATGGAGCGCCATCCAATACCTTTAGGTTGAGTTGGGAGTAGCATCTGTGATCCATAGCTGGTCATCCACTTCTCTTGTGGCTGAATGCAACCAAATCCTCACAACAATGTTCCATCATCTGATGTAAAGCCTTTCCAGACAAGTAGAGCTGCAAAGGAGTACTACAGCACAGGGTAGAGCAAACTCCCCGTCTGAAGCCTGCATTCTGAGGGCCGTCTGTATGGCTACTTCTAGACCTCGTAACTTAGAAATGATACGCCTATCAAAAGATTCAGCATCTCTAACTTTATCAGTTTCAGGTGCAGCGAAACATCAGTGAGTAAACTTCATTTCATTACTATTATTATTATTATGATTATTATTATTATTATCACTCTACTACTAGTACAGTTCTTTATATTTAATTAATTACTTTGTTGTGAGTTCAGCTGTTGTTAATCCTGAATGTATTAGAGCTGAAACTGTTGAGTGACACAGGCTTTGGCATGCGTTTGGTGTGTGGTGGCAGGACTGGGGGGCTCGAAGGGGTAACAGTGGGTGTGTTTCAATAAGCAAGAATGGGTGCATTCCAATTCAGCTTCTTCTGAACGGATAGACTAGATATAAATAATATGATTAAATTTATTTTTACAGCTTTATTTTTTGATCAGAACTGATTTTAAACATTATTCACTGCTGACAGTAAATATCCAGGCCAGTCTGAGTAATAAAAATGATTTCAGAAGTATTTATCTTGGCTCTGAAGGAAGATTCCAAGTCCTGTGT